GGCAGTGCTGGTTTGCAGCATCCATTCATGAGAGAGATGGGGCTAGGGACAGAACTGATCAGGCAGCTGCATCCACTGGTATATGCGTTGGCTGGTGCAGATGATGGACCAAATCTGACCTTGTATTGACAAGCACAGGGGAGAGACAAGTCTGAGGTCACCCCAGGTAAGGTTTCATGAGGGATTCCCCAATTAGATCATTGGTCTCAAACCCCAGCCTAATGGAAATTCGTAAGATAATGTAGCAAGACTATGCTTCCTCAGTTGCTGATGTCTGTGCAGTGGACAGCAGGCCCAAATGCACATGGTGGATAAGACTGTCATCTAGGCCAACAGAGGATGCTAAGTGCCTTGTCAGCAGATGGAAAGCAGAACAGGTTGGACTCTTGGACAAGCTTTGCAGTAAGGTTCTGGGTCTGTCGATGCACTAAGGTGGATTTGGTCAGCTGATACAGATATTCTCAACCCTGGTTCAATGAAAGCAACATTGTCTCAAAACTATCAAAATCACTCAAGTAAGACCCTCACCTCAGGGTCTCTAAGACGTCATCAAATGACTGTCCCCATCCTTGTGTGCTGATGTAGTTTAATAGCAAGGAATAGTCCCCTCCCCTTCCCTGAGGGTATAGGAGGGGGAAAAATGAGACCTTTGTCCCTCCCACTTTCCTTCCTCCATACCTCCAATCTCCCCACCCTAATCAAGGGCCAATATGGGCATACATCCTTAACAATATAGACAATAGTAAAAATAAAATTTAAAAAACTTAAAAATATTTTTAGTATGATCATTTATGAATCCTAACTGCAAAGATTCTTTTACCAAATAAGGAAAAGTAAATATTGTGTCAATAGGACACTGCATGCTCTCAATGTCTGCTTATTCATTAACTTGCTCGACTGAACTATCCCTGAGAGCTACACCCTGATACCTGTGGGGGACATCTACTGGCTTCCTGCACACAGTGTAGATAAGATGTCCATTTCCTCTTGGTCACCTGGGTGGTCTGCTGGCTAACTCGGCTAAGCTTTGTTCAAAATATGCTCAATCCTCTGAAGGGTCAGGCCAAGGTGCTTCCTTCTGTGACTTCACCCTCACAAAGCCTTTTTTTCCTTTTAATTGAGGTGTAAATCAGGAAGTAGTTATGTACTTCACAAAACATTCTTCAATATACAAACATCCTCGTATCCGTAACACCCACTGACTAATAGTAGCTCTCACAAATTGAGACTCAAACTATAGTGAAATGGCCAGCACTCCCAAGAGCACGTCATTCTCACATCATTTCCACACTGTAAACTTACTACAAGGTGAGGTTGTAGACTTCAGGGGCTGTTATTTTAGCCAGTGAGTGTGGGCCCTTTTGGCATCCTTCATCCTCCAGGACAGCACTCTCTGAGCACAACTGATGGAATCAAGGGTAAAGAACCTGACAGGCCAGATTCTCTTGAGTTTTGGGCCTTGGACTTGGCAGCAAGGATTATGGATGTAGCCCCGAAATGCTTTTTTTTTTTTTCTGCTAAATGAACGGCACTGTATACTAGAAACAGCCAAGCTGATATAGATAGGCAGTTAGCGAGGGGAATGCTGAGGTCACCAGCCTCTCTACCGTCCCACCTACTCCACCCAACACTCCTCTTCCCCACTTGCGCCGCAGAAAACAGCTATTTCTAGGAATCTCTCAGGAACTTCCAACTGAAGACACATATATGGTTACTGATAGCACTATACCAACCCACAACACACAGTTCACTACAGTGTAACTCTAATTATCATGGCTGACATACTTAAATTCTGCCCCTCTTCTATTCAATTAAACTCTGCCTCAAACATCATTGCCCATGAATATTCAATTTCTGCAGATCATACAAAAGGATAATCCTGAAACTTAATGGGTGCAGCTCATTTAAAAAAAAAAAAGATTTATTTTTTATTGTAAAGTTAGATTTTGCAGAGGAGAGACAGAGAAAGATCTTCCATTCACTGATTCACTCCCCAAGTGGCCACAATGGCTGGAGCTGAGTTGATCTGAAGCCAGGAGCTTCTTCTGGGTCTCCCTAGTGGGTTCAGGGTCCCAATGCCTTGGGCCATCCTCTACTGTTTTCCCAGGCCACAACAGGAAGTTAGATGGGAATGGAGTAGCTGGGACACAAACCAGTGCCCGTAGGGATCCCAGCATATTCCAGGAGAGGACTTCAGCTGCTAGGTTACCATGCCAGGTCTGCAGCTCAGTCTTAAGTGTACTTGTACTCCCTCTTGACTGTGTACTTTTGCTGTTAACGATAAACTTTATTCTTTGTCCTTGAATTCTTGCACAGACAAGAACCTGGACCCAGCCATACAGTAACAAAATGACCATAGGACTTAAAACTGAAGCGTAAATACTTGGGTTGGTTTATTTGTTTGAAGGTGGCTGCCTTTATTTTTATGACTTATTTCCACTTTATTTGAAAGGGAGATCCAGAAAGATCTTCCGTCTGTGAACTCACTCTCCAAACATCTGCAATAGCCACGGCTGGGACAGAACTCAATCCAGGTCTTCCATGAACAGCAGGACCAACGGCTAAAACCTGCTGCCTCTCAGGGTGTTCACTGGGAAGCTGGAATGAGAAGTGGAAGCCGACTGAAACCCAGCGCATCTGATGTGGGATGCAGGTGTCTGCTGTTAATCACTGCTTCTTACCTACCCCTCACTGCCCATGCCTTCATTCTTACTGGCTTCCCTGGTTAGTGCTCCAAGAGCAGCAGAGCTGTTTCTCTGCTATAGATTAAGTCTACACCCTGTTCTCCCCTCTTTTGGATAATACATTTCCTTTTTTGCCTAGCCACTCCTGAGTGGGTGTCTGTTACTCATACTTAAAAGATGAAACAATGTTGTAATATCTTTTCAAAAGGTCCTTCTAAAAATCCCAGATTGCCCAAAAATTTTCCTGATATCTTAATGCATATTAGAACCATTAGAAAAGCACTTAGCACAACACTGTGATGGCATTGCTTTCACTTCCTCGAGGCGAGGCGAGGCAGAGGAGACATCTCAGGAGATGTCTATTTCAACACACTCACTCTCAAACGAAGGCCCCAAGTTGCCAAGACAATCACCCAGTACTGGGATTAGGTCCATTTGTCAGTACTCGAAAATCAGTCCTTGGTCAATGAACTTTGCAGGACCAACTTAAAATGCCAAGTGAGATCACTAAACATTATTTACTGATTGTGTATTTCTCAGGACTTTCATTAGCAAGCTGAAAATCCAGCTCAAACTAGCTTAAGTAAACACACATGCACACAAAACAGGTTCAAGGAATCCACCTGTTTCAGGAATGGCTGGTTTTAAGATTAAAATTACCAAGCCTTCTCTCCATGTCTAGGCAACTTTCCAGAGGTGGAGCACTCACAGGTCACATCCTGTCAGCACAGCTGCCCCACAGCACATACCTGACTACAGCAGGGCCTCTTCATTCTGTGAGGCAGTTAAGTTCCTGTCCATTCTCTTATGCCGATCGGCATTTGGTGTTTGCCATAGTAAAACAAGCCTTGACTCAAACAAGGGCAACGGTCAACAGCTTCTTCCTTTAAAGCTCTTCAACAGAACAGAACATGCATGGAGGCCAGGATGAGAAGCAACTGTCACTGAAACATGCATGAAATGTGGCCTATGCTCCACTTTGTATCTTCTGCTTATTTATAAATCCTTTAACTTCAGCTCATTCTTGGCCCTACCAGTAGCACATCCTGGACTGCTGCCTAATATCCTCAGCTGACTGAGGTCTCCTGGAAGCTTTTTAGAAGCACTGCTGAAGTAATGATGAGCACAGCCTCTGACCTTTATACAGATCAAGTGGTAAGATTCCAGCCTGGTAAGCCTCATGACAATGAACGTGGTAACCACAGTGGTGACTGTGTTTGGGTTGGGAAGTGGACTTTCCTAAGGTGGGAGGCTGCACAGGCAAGGGCCTTTCCAGGCAGTCATGGTGCCGGCAGCTTTCCAGAATCCTTATGTGGCTTAACATCTCTGAGTCTTGATTCCCGCTACAACTAACATACGAGAGAAAAAAAAAAACCTTCTGCATTGATTTGTATTAAGAAATGAAATACATGTAGAACAGGTAGAACAAGTCAGGACTCAATGAACACTGATTCCAAATTTTTATTTATGTCCTTTACTAAACAGAGTAGGATCCAATCTTTTCAAATGTCTTAACATTTCTGCCATGGAATGGTATGATTCTATATAATAAATAATTCAAATGAACAATCTAGAATTTTTTAAAAAACATTTATTTTAAAGGCAAGAGTGACAGAAACATAGAGGCAGAGAGAGAGACATCTTTAATCCACTGGTTCACCCCTAAATGGCCACAGCAGCTGAGGATGCATCAGGCTGAAGCCGGGAGAATGAACTCCCTCTAAATCTCCCACATGTGTGGCAAGGACTCAAGTACTCGGGCCACCTCCTGCTGCCTTCTCGGGAACATCAGCAGGGAGCCCGACTGCAGGCAGAGCAGCCAGGCGTTCAAACAGGCACTCTGATATGGGATGTGAATCACCGCATCACAAAGCCAGACCCAGAATACAGAATTAAAAAAAAAAAAAAAACCTTACTAGCGATGAAGGGAGGGAGGGAGAGAGAAAAAGATGGGGGGTGGGGGGGAAGAGAGAAGAGGAGAGGGAAAGGGGGAGAGAGAGAGAGAGAGATGGGAGAGATATCCACTGGTTAACTTCCTAATTGCTTGCATCAGCCAAGGCTGGGCCAGGCTGAAGCCAGGAGCCAGAACTCCACCCAACTCTCTCAAGGGTGGCAGGGACCCTGCCACCTGAGCCATCAGCAGTTGCCTCCCAGGGCGTGCATTAGCAGGAAGCTGGATAGGAAGCCAGTGGCCAGGATTTAGACCCAGGTGCTCTGATACGGGATGCAGGCAGCCAAAGTCACACCTTAACCACTGTACCAAATGTCTGCCTCAGAATCTGGAATTTTTTTAACCTAAAAAAGTTTTGCCAGTTGTTCAAATGTCTTTATTGGAATTAAACTTCATTTAAGGGATATACCGATATACAACTAGTTTGATCAGCGACTAATATAGTTTGATGTCCCTTTATTTTTGTTCCCAAAAGCCAGTTCACTTTTTCCCCATGTTCGATATTGAGCTTTGGAGAAATTCTGCCATGGTCTTCCTGTTCTGTTACTGAAGCACTAGTATTTCTGCCCTGCTTGGTGAAAGTGGCCCTTTTAGGTTTCTTCCGGTGGGGGTGTTTTGTAGGACTCTTCTGTTTTTTCTCAATTTCACTGCTCACATCCCACAGCCTTATCATCCCATCATTCCCACCACTAAGCAGCAAATAGGATTCTGGCAGGAAACAGACCTGGGATACCCCCAAAGAGTGGCCCCTAAATCCCAGTTCCTGTTCACACTTGATTCCCATTACTTTAAAGATTCGGACTTTACCATCTTCTGCACCACAACTAAAAACATTGCCACATGATGCGACAGAGACAGAGTGGGCCAGAGCAGGGTTTAAGAGCTGACCAGGGGACTGCGGGCCTTCTGCTTCTTCCGCTTTATCCTCCTCTAAGTTTGTAATCCAGAGCGGCCGTGCTTTCTGAAGATTCCACAGCATCACCTGTGAACAAGAAGAAGTTAGGGTCACACAGTACTCTAGCCATTTTGCTCTACTGTCCTGACCACTCAGCAATTTCAAGCAATATTGAAAAGAGAAAAAAAAAATCAGACACTAACAAAATATTCCAGTAGGGATGCTACCCTGCAACCAAAGCTAGAAGGCAGATGGGAAGTCAGCATTTATAAAACAAGACCCTGAATAAGTTTTGATTAACAAGTCCCATTACAGCATAATTGTTAAGCAGCTGCCAGGTTCTAAATGTCTTTCTACTCTCAACTCTGAATAAGACTGAAGAGTATGAAATTTGTGAGTTTTATTCTGCGCTGTGTCTGTCAGCTAAATAATGAAATTTGGGCTATCATGGGAATAATTTCCATCTGGAATGCCTTTCCTTTCACATTACCCAAGCTACCCGGATGGGGGCTTAAGCTGAAGTCCCTGTCCTCTGAGAAGACTTGCTCCTCTTTCCCACAGTTAGTTCTGAGTGTATTAACTGACATACACTTTCAGCTTGTCAGTTTCTTGAGATTTAACCCATCTTTGCTAATGTCTAGCATAACGCCTCTGAAACTGCAGAAATTCCAAACGGGACATGAACCAGTGCCCACATGGGGTCCTGGCACTTGCAAGGTGAAGATTCAGTCATTGAGCCATTGCGCTGTACGTGGTGCTGGGTTTATAACATCATAGTTAGTAGCTAACAGTGAGCTACAGTAACATATCAGAAAGCATAACACAAATGAGTGCTGAAACCTGACATGAAATATAAAAAAAAAATCTGAACATAAGGAAAATGACCAATTTGCAGCTGAATGAATGACAGGCACCGCTATGGGTCTCCTCTTTTGGCCTCAGTCAAGCCTAGGTTGAATTTACCAGCCTGCGGCAGTAAAGCACGCACTGCACCCTAGTGCCTACAGCAACTGAACCATTTTTGCATTTGGCTGAACATCTGTGTTAGCCATCACCCAGACTCTACATTTCCAAGTACTGAGGCATTACAGACTGTTCCTGCCTGGACATTGCCTTTTACACTTTTTTACTTTTCCCAACTGTCAAAGACTTCAAGACATTTCATACTTAATTTTTCAATCAGCTGTTTGAGCAGTTGTCACTCTAAGCAAGGCAGTTGGAAACTGAAGACAAAAATGAGAGGCTGGGGCTTATAGACGCGCAACACATCAAAAAAAACCAGTTCGCTGGCCTCAGTTCCTAAGTGAATGTGATCATGTCAAAGCGGTCCTGCTCAAAAGATCCTCCCCCTGGGCCCAGCACGCTAGCCTAGCGGCTAAAGTCTCTGCCTTGCATTTGCCAGAATCCCCTATGGGTGTCGATTTGTATCCCAGTGGCCCCACTTCTGTCCCAGCTCCCTGCTTGTGGCCTGGGAAAGCAGTTTAGGACAGCCCAAAGCCTTGGGACCCTGCACCCATATGGGAGAGCCAGAAGAGGCTCTGGGCTCCTGGTTTTGGATCAGCTCAGCTCTGGCCATTGCAGCTGTTTGGGGAGTGAAATCAACGGACAAAAGATCTTTCTCTCTGTCCATCTGACTTTCCAATAAAAATAAATAAATTAAAACTCTTAAGTTTATCTATAGTGAATCTTAAAAAAATGTTGCTTCAGGCCCAGCGGTGTGGCCTAGCAGCTAAAGTCCTCACCTTGCACACAGAAATCCCATATGGGCACTGGTTCCAATCCTAGCTGCCCTACTTCACATCCAGTTGCCTACTCGTGGCCTGGGAAAGCAATAAAGGATGGCCCAAAACCTTGGGACCCTGCACTCACATTAGAGACCCAGAAGAGGCTCTGGGCTCTTGGCTTTGGATTAGCTGAGCTCCAGCCATTGTGGTCTCTTGGGAAGTGAATCATCAGACGGAAGACCTTCCTCTCTGTTTCTCCTCCTCTCTGTATATTTGACTTTCCAATAAAATTAAAAGAAAAAAAAATTTGCCAGGACAATTGAAATAGGTAACTACCTAACTCTATTATTTTCCTTTTATAAGTATTTACTTTCTAGACTGCCCTGTCAGCTACCTGCTGTAAAAGCATCTTGCCTATTACTGGAGACAAAAAGGTAAATTCTGGATGTCCATCACCTAACTGCAGAGTACAGGTCACCATTGTGCACTTGTCTGTTGCTACAGCTAATGAACGAATAATAAGTACGTAACGAAAAGTTGGTATGGCGGAAGGATGACAGAAGTTTGTCAAAGGCAAATTTTAGATAGGATGCCTATCTAAAAAGACATCCCCCTGGCTGTGCAGGTGCTACCTCCCCACTGTTGAGATATATTAGATGCAGAAGGCTTGTAAATGGCTTGGTCAAGATCTAGGAGTGGAAAAGGAATTTCTCGAGAGTGATTGTCAAAAGAGATGCTACAGATATTTTTGTCAGGACAATTTTTAATCATTCTGGGACTATCTTAGCATTACAGTATATCTGCTGATTGGGCCTATCAAATGCTAAGAGATAAGTAGGGGCAATCATTGTGATAAAAACAAACAAACAGACAGACAGACCCATCAGGGGCTGGCATTGTGGTACGGCATGTAAAACCTTCCGGCTGTGACACTGGCAACCACATAGGAAAATCCTGGTTGCTCTACTTCTGATCTAGCTCCTTACTAACAGCCTGGTTTTAAAGCAGCAGAGAAATAGCCAAATGCTTGGGATCCTGCACCCACGTGGGAGACCCAGAAGAAGCTCCTAACTTTGGATTGGCTTAGCTCTGGCCATCGTGGCCATTTGGGGAATGAACCAGTGGATGGAAGGTCTGTCTCTTCCTGCTTAACTCTGCATTTCAAATGTATTTTTTTGAAAAAAAAAAAAAAAGATTTTTTTTAAAGCAAAGTTTGACACTTGAATTCCTAAATTGTAAGAGTTATAGAAGATACAGGAAAAGATAGCAAAGTCCACTAGCCAAGAAGATGCAAAGACAAAACCTTTGATGCTATTAAAAGGAACACAGAGTTTATAGAAGCAAAGTACTGTGTAGTAGTATTGAGAGCACCAATTACATTTTCACAACAGTGCTAGACAAGTAGGTCACTGATGAACAATGGTTCAAAGTGGTTTGGGAGCTCACTGATTCTCAACCAAGGATACTCTGCTTAAACAACTCTGATGCCACAAAAACAGTTCACAGTCAGAGATGAGGTTTGAATCGCAGTCAGCAGTTGTGTGCACATTTAATTTAGATCTGTTTTTTCATCTATTAAAAGAGAGCGATAGCTATCTGGACGATATGATTTGGAATTAAAATGCTCAAGATAACTGAGATTCGTGTTCTCACAAGGAAGCACACACCACTGTGGGGCAGTGAGCTCTTGAAGAAACCAAAATAAACCAAAATCTGCCTCCCCATCATTTCTGCTATTTAGACTAACATGTTTCCCCACCCCCCAAAAGACAACTAGGAGCTAAACTCTTCCAGTTCCCAATATATTGGACATATCTGCTTTCCCAATGGTGGAACTTTGGATTTGGGCTAACTTGTGATGGTTTATTAAAAACCCAGGACTGAATGTAATGCTCTGATCTTGATCACCCAGTCATAATCTTTCAATTAGCTTTAGAAAAATAGAATTGCAAAGTGAAAACAAACCCATCTCCTCCAACGTGCTCTTTCAGTTTTTAAGCACAGGGCTTATACAGGATGGGCAGATCAACTCTGATATCCCCTTTGTTTCAACAGATGTTCAGAATTAAGTGTCTGAATTCTCAAATCTCAGGAATGTCTTAAGGCACAGAGAAAGGAAGACTAAAGGATTAAGGTTTGCTCTGAATAAAATCAATGAGATTTTTTGGGCTGGCATTAAACATAGAAGGAAGGCTTATAGTTCATAAATGAATAAGACATGTCAGCACAGAAAACAGAAGATGCAAAGGTATATTTAGCCTGATCAATCATTTGATTCTGTTAGCAAATCCCATTTGGACATTATCTCCCTGCAAAAGCATCACCTGCATATCCAGTCCACACGACACCAGGCTCAGAGGCCTCTGCGGTCGGAAAGCCACAGAGGAACAGATGTTGGAATGTCTCTTCAGGGATCTGCTGACTTTCTTACTTTCCAAGTCTAGGATTTTGATTGCCCCAGAGTCGTCGGCAGAAGCCAGCAGGTTTTCGTTTTCATTCAGGGAGAGACAGTTGATTTCTTCTTCATTCACATGGAAGTGGTCCACACAAGCTTTGAGGGCCCTGACATCCAGCACACTAATGGTTTCTCCATGGGAGGCAAAGAGCTTGGTGGGGCAGGAAGAAGAAAATATGACACTGGTAACGTCATCAGCTCCTGGGAACTGTGTGTGTCCCAGCAGATTCCCGTCTTCACCCCAGGCCGTGAGTTCTCCACCTTCCGCTCCGGAGGCCAGTAGCCCTTCTTTACTTGCATTTAAGCAGAGAATGGGAGAAGAATGTCCACCAGTCCACTTCACTGACATATTGGCCTGGAAGACTCTGTGATGAGGGCAGAGAGGGAGCTATCAGCTCAAGTGTTGTATAAGAACTATAAGGTCAGATTTTTTTTTTGTAGTTTTTTTTTTTAATTTTAACTTCTTGTTAAATTATCATCATCATTCTATGATACAGTTCTCTGGGATTTCCCCTACGCCCTCCCAAATAAGGTCAAATATCATAAACAAGATATCACTGAAATACCAAAAAGACATGTTAAAAAAAAACCCTGCCTTAATCAAAAATAGTTAAAAAAAAAAAAAATTAAAGCTCAAGAATACCAAAGGTAGTTGAACAATGTCTGGCAAATGTCTAAGACTTCTGCTATTAGGGACCCATACAAGTTGGTCCTCCAGTCTTTGACATGAGAACAATACTAAACATTATATAAATTCAGAAAAACTCTTAATGAGAAGGCTATGCGATCATTAGACTATATTTTTCTTTATTATTATTATTATTATTTTTTTTTATATTTTTCGTTTAAATGTTTTAGGGAGTGAGCTCTGTAGACAGACTTATCAGGTTTGTGCTGGTTGACTCTAAGCACCTCTGTGACTCACTCTGCTTCTCTACAAAATGGGAATAACATCCTTTGCCAAGGTCATTAAGATAATTAACATTATATATAAAGCCCAAATAATAGTGTCTGTTATGAAACAGAAACTGATAAATATCACTGTTGTTACTTTTCTCTTTTTATTAGGCTAGTCTAAGTAGTGGCATACAGACACACATACACACATACTAAACTAGGGATCTTAAAAGTATGGTCTCCAGGGCCCGGCGGCGTGGCCTAGCGCCTAAAGTCCTTGTCTTGAACGCGCCAGGATCCCCTATGAGTGTCAGTTCTAATCCCAGCTGCTCCACTTCCCTTCCAGCTCCTTGCTTGTGGCCTGGGAAAGCAGTCAAGGACGGCCCAATGCCTTGGGACCCTGCACCCGCGTGTGGGAGACCTGGAAGTTCCTGGCTCCTGGCTTTGGATCGGCGCAGCACTGGCCGTTGCGCTCACTTGGGGAGTGAATCATTGGACAGAAGATCTTCCTCTCTGTACATCTGCTCTGTATATCTGACTTTGTAATAAAATAAATAAATAAATAAATATATATATATATATATTTTTTTTTTAAAGTATGGTCTCCAGATAAGCAGCAACAGCATCACCTGGTACCTTGGACAAATAAGCTGTTTGAGGATTGGCATCGTGGAACTGCACATCAAGCTGCTGTCTGCAACGCTAGTATCCCATACAAACACTGGTTCAAGTCCTGGACCGTCTACTTCTGATCCAGCTTCCTGCTAATGCTCCTAGGAAAGTGGTGGAATATGGCCTGAGTACTTGGGCTCCTGTACCCACGTGGGAAACTGGGATTGGGTTTCAGGGTCTCAGCATCAATTTGACCTAGCCCCAGTTACGGTGACCATATGGGGAATATACCTGTGGAACTGATAAATATTAAACACTAAGAACACTGACAAATATAACTTGTCAAATCAGGTTATTAGAAAAGAGTCTTCATTATTTACACGTTTGGGATCCCTTTCTTCAGATCACATACTGGAATTTCAGAACATGTATCACTTGAGAATCCAGCCAAAAGTGCAGACCCTTGGAGCTGTACTTCAGATATTCATTTACTAGGTTATCTGATTTTGGTCTTAAAACAATCGATTTGATTGGCTAGAGTTCCTTTAACAGATGATAAAATTGTCAGAAATGCCGAATAATTTGCCCAAGGTATCTTGATTCTTACAATTTGTACATAGGGTCTAACATAACGACATCCTAAGTATTTAAATAACAGAGATCTTTTCTCATTTTAAAAAAGGTTACTTTTTTAAATTTGAAAGGCAGTTACAGAGGGAGAGAGAGAATATGTTAACTTGCTAGTTCACTCCAGATGGCCTCAATGTCCACAGCTGAGCTGGTCTGAAGCCAGGAACTTCTTTTGGGTCTCCCATGTGGGTGTGGGAACCCAAGGACTTGGGTCATCTTCTGCTACTTTTGCAGGCACATTAGCAGGGAGCTGGATCAAAAGTGGAGCAGCTGAGACTGGAACCGGTGCCACATAGGATGCTGGTGCTGCAGGCAGTAGTTTTACCCACTATACACCCATTATGCTACAGCACTGGCCCCAATACCCTTCTCTGAATAACTTAACAAGCTTTGTTAGTATTGTTTGCAGGAAATGACCAAAAGCTACGAACTCCCCATTGTTTAAAAAACACATTCACCTACTTTTTTCAGCACTTTACCATCTACCTACACTTATACAACAGGACTTGAGTACAAAATCCAGATTCCTCATCTCTTAGGAATCCCAAATATACAGACTAGAATTGTTATACCCTGCTTTGACTGTCAAGGCAACTGAGAAAATTAGGGCAATTTAGACTCCTATGGTCAGATGAAAGGAAGAAAACAAATTTATCTGGCTAAAGCTAATTGTTCATTTTACAAAGCTAGGGAGAATATACCAGGCGAAAAATTGCTAGAATTATTTTATTATTTTCAGTTATGACACTTGGATTTAATTGCATGGCACAAAGACAGATTTACCAATCCCGACTGGAAAAGTCACTTAAAATAATCTGGCAATATTTCGTATTCCAAATACAAAACTGTTTATTTTCTTCTACTTTGATATCATCCCTGATCAATAAAATATACAAATTACTAGACAACAACAATAAATCCCTGACCTATTAGTAACTGAGGTGACAGATCACGGTCACACATCCACACACACACAAAAGCAAAGTCACACAAGATTTTCATCAAGATGACAAAATACACAAAAGCCCCCCTCTTTTAAAACTTTTAGCAGAAACACAGTTAGTATGCAGAGGAAACTAATTCAATAGAGACTCAAGCAAGAGTTAAAGGAGCGGCTGAGAGAGGAAATGACTCAGAGGGAAAGACAGGGAGCTCGGCGGCTTGATTCTTGCTGACAAGCACTGAAACAAGAATTAATTCTCTGCTCTGAGAAAGAATCTGGCAAAATTTCCAGACAGATCGAGGGGAAGAAAAAAAAACTCACGATTTCAAGCGAAAAGGTATTGATGCGATTTAGACTTAGTATTATGGAGACTTAGATGATGTCTAACAGCATCCTACCTTAAAATATGAAATCTGAATTAGCTATTTAAAAGGCAACTGAAGTTGGCATTTTTAATTGTTATGGACTTTTAGGGCATTAACCACTTCTTTCCTATGTCAGTTCTCTTGCTGCTAAGAGGGATCAATCTGACAGTCAGCACCTCTGTTCTCTGCCGGACTCCTGGAGTACAGGCTTTGTCTCCCTCCTGGGATTTCAAATGAGGCAAGTTTCCAGCACTTCCTCTTCTCCTTTACAAACCCATTCACAGGGTTTGACAAATAAATGCTCACTGGCAGACAGGAGTCTTCGCAGATTTTCTTCCTTTTTCTGGAAGGGTATTCTATCTCTAGAGGCATGTTTAGGTTCAGTTCTATCCCCAAATGAACAGGAGTTAGGCAACAAATGAAATCTGCTTAAAGGGACTATTACGGGGCATGATGTGGTGGCTCAACTAGTTAATCCTCCACACTTCCAAGTGCAGCATCCCACACGGGCACTGGTTCATGTCCTGGCTGCTCCACTTCCCATTGAGCTCCTGCTTGTTGCCTGGGAAAGCAGTGGAAGATGACCCAAAGCCTTGGATCCTGCGCTCACATGGGAGACCTAGAAGCTCTGGCTCCTGATCAGCTCAGCTCCAATTATTGCGGCCATTTGGGGAGTGAACCAGCAGATGGAAAATCATTCTGTCTCTCCTTGTCTTTGTAAATCTGGCTTTCCAGTAAAGATAAATAAAACCTTTAAAAAGCAAAGGTACTATTACCAATAATACATTTTCTATATATTTTTCTGTAGTGAAATAGTAGGAACTCTTGTTCTATTAATCTCACAAGACCCCAAAATAGCTCTACCTTAAAATACACGCACCATAATAAAAACAAGCTGAATTACTAGTTTCTGTATCACACAGTTAAAATTTTTTTGATCACCTGCCTAGCCAGAAAAATTAAAATGAAGACCTATTACTGGAAATGTTAAGAAAAAGTTGGGAAAGTCCCCAAAAGACACTCTGAAGTTAGTGATTTTAGTCAACCAGTGTTTCCCATGCAGAGTGCTGATTGGCAATCAAATCAGACGCTTACTTAGTCTGTATGAGTAAAACCTTCATTATCTGAGATACACCCAAGACCATCATTGTAAAGTGTGAATAAACTGCTGTGGTAGATGGGTAGTGGGAAAAAAAAATAACTAAATTGGGGTCAAATCAAAACAACTTTCAGAAATGAGTTGGCAAGTCCCTGTGTCTTGTTTTTCCTATGACTGAACTGGAAAGCTTAGCAGAAGCAGGCAATGCCTCGTCAACCAGCCTCTTGTTTCTCGTGTCACCTGAGGGTCTGAGCAGAGCAGTCAAGCATATCCCCCATGGAAATTACTTTACATAAATGCATCCCTTCCTTCAAACACCTAAGGAGATCATGGAGTGGATGAGGGAAAGGTGAGGGTATTTCAGCACACTTTCTAAAAAACAGTAGAGTGCCAGTGACTATGGGGAGAGGGCTTGGTGGGGAGATGGGATCAGCAGGTGAAGGATTTGCAAAAAGAAAAGCAGGAAAGTGATACAGGCAACCTTGACATTCTACCAGGGCTACTGGGGGGGTGGGAGGGGACAGACTGCCACTTAAGCCACCTCAACCAGGGACAATATGACCACAATGTGTCACAGGCTCTACCTCACCTTCCCTGTGACACACAGGACACAGAGTAGGTTGAATGGCTGGGAGTTCTGTACCCTCAGCACTCTGCTCCAGTCCTGACTCCACTTACCCATGCCCAGAAACCTGATCATTTGGCACGGCTCTAGACTCCCCTTTCTCAGGTGGACCAATTCCATTGATCCTTGAAGATTCAAAAGAAACGCACAGCTGTCTTTTCAGACAAAACTTGGTTCAAACTTAGGAACTGTAATCTGAAAGTCACCATCACTATAGCCAAGATAGGCCAGCTTTTTACCTACAGGTTTGCCGTTTCTCAAGTCCCTCCTATGTGAAGCTGGACAACCATCAAACTCATTGGCAGAGCTGTGGCCATGGTGGGAACTGAAAAAAATAAAATCTGGGTTCTGGAGCTTGGTGAAAAAGGCATCAGGAAAGACAAAGATCAACAGGTTATCAACTACAACAGAGGGTGTAAGAGGTAGTTATTTTCACAAGAAATGGATGACACAACAGGGATGATTTCTTACCAAAGCAAGGTGGGGACACGCTGACTGCGAAACCCATTATTATAAGTATTTACCTCACAGAGTTGTTTGGGGAAATTATATTTAGTAATGGGGCAAGGTTCTCACTATTGTCAGTAGGTGCCTGGCTCACATTATGGGTCAATCGACAGCTATTCGTTTAGTAGACGCCCTTAAAACACTCCCTGAAAAACGTGGTCCCCTCACCGCCCCCCCAGGAAAGCTCAGTATGATGACACAATGCTCAAATTCTTCCCCTCCCAGCAAACCACCTCCAAGTACAGCCCCGCGTGTCACTCTCCATAGCGCGGTGTTGCATAGAAAGCACACTGCCTTAGTGCATCTGGGGAAGACCATATTTTGTCTAATGTGGCACTTTAGCCCTAAAATGGCACTTTAAATTATTCAAATTGCGGCGAAAGGGGTTAAGTGTGAGGGGTGCAGTGGGACGGTGTTAGGATGTTAGCGTTCTTCCTTTCCGACCAGTCGTTGGGGCAGAAGCTCTCCTAGACATCTGTTCTCCTCGGGGAGAACAACAAGGTCTGACCAAGAAAAGACCCAGAAACCCCAAGATAATCAAGCCTGAGTTGGTGGGGGGGGACGAGGAATTGGCTACCAAGGTAAGCTTCAGAGACCTAACTCAAATCGGAAAAGATCCCCCAGCCCCAATTCTCCCCCAGGAAAGCTGACCCGAGGCTGCCACACCATAAAGAAGGAAGAGCCGCCACAGAGGACTTCTGAACCCACCCGCGCCAGCCCCATACCTGCGTTTCCCGCTGCCCTTCTCGGCGCTTCGAGATGACTTCACCTGCCGCTGCCCAATCGCATCGAGCGTAGGGTGCGAGGCGCCTCAGCCAAACAGTCACATCCGGGAGCGAGAGGAACCGCGAGCGAGCTGGGCGTGCGCCCTTGCTTCGTGCCCTCAACCCGCATGGCGGAGCCACGGGCGCGCCGCGGGGAGGCCGGGCGAGCCGGGCGGTTCCGGCGCCCGCGCTGAGTCGCGGCGGGAGGGGCGGGGGACGCCCCGGGCAGCCGGAACGTCTGCCCTCAGTGAGGCGGGGCGCGCGCCGGTCGCCCCCGGGCAGAGGCGGGAGTGCTGGAGGCGCGGGCGGTGGGCACTGAAAGGGGGCGGTGAGCGAGCTGCTCCCGGCCGGTGTCAAGGCACGGCTCGGCCTCCCGCTCGGGGACGGCGGCGGCCTCCGGGCCGGCTGGTGAGGCGATGGCGGCACCGGCCCCGGGGGCTGGGGCAGCCTCGGGCGGTGCTGGCTGTAGCGGCGGTGGCGGCGGTGCGGGTGCGAGCTCGGGCTCTGGGTCCGCGGGGGCCGGCGGCCGGCTGCCCAGCCGCGTGCTGGAGTTGGTGTTCTCCTATCTGGAGCTGTCGGAGCTGCGGAGCTGCGCCCTGGTGTGCAAGCATTGGTACCGCTGCCTGCACGGCGACGAGAACAGCGAGGTGTGGCGGAGCCTGTGCGCCCGCAGCCTGGCCGAAGAGGCTCTGCGCACGGACATCCTCTGCAACCTGCCCAGCTACAAGGCCAAGGTGAGGGGGCCCCCCGGGGCCACGCCGCTGCTCGGCGAAGCTTGGGAATCAGACGGCTCGCTTCTCCATCCCGCCTTCCCCGCGCTCCCCATCGGTGCCTTCCCCTGCCTCCCGCCCCCGCAAAAAAAGCATCGTCTTGTCCCTGTGGAATGAAGTTCTGTTCTTTGCTGCACTCCACTTCCACGCTTTTTTTTTTTAAGGCGGGCTGGTTTTCTCTGATTTCCAGCACCCGTTCTACTTTTAAAAGACAAACCATCGCTATTGTTGTGCCTTTTCATCCTATTTCCACACCTCCCTTCCCCCAGCCTCGGTTGTTTTAAACAAACCTTCATTTCTGTGAGCTTGTCATTCATTCCACCTTTCCCAAACTCCATCCGTAACCAGTTTTTCTTTATTTTCGCCCCCTGTTCTCTTTCGTTCCCTCTGCTGCTGGTCCTAGGCACTGCTTAACCCTCGAAGCATTGCCTAGTGCCACTGAATGGCTGTTGATGGCCAACTTTCTCGTAGTCCTACCTTGAGTCGGTCTGTCTGTGTGTCGTCCAAGGTGCTGATTTCGCCCTTCACCTCCTAGATTCTTGAGGCATATTCCTGCCACGTTCATGTACCTAAAAATGGCGAGTAACAGACTGTGGGAGGGCGAGAGGATTCTTAAGGCCATATAAACCAAAGACCTTGGCCTTGCCATCGGTTAGCAGTTACTCAGCACAGTGGGCACCAAGTGTTATTGTGAAAGAGAAGTGTGACCTGGAGTGTGGTAAACAAACAAACAAAAGTAACTAAAAACCAGGAGTTCATACCCTTTTTAGTGGGAGACTGCTGGGGGTCAAGGGGTTGTATCAAAGTAACAAATGAAAGTTGTGTTTTAGGTGAAGTAGATCTAAAATTTATCCCTCCATAAAGTAGGCTTTTAGTTTAATAAGGAACTTAGCTGTGAAATATGAAAGCTGTCAAGTTGTTTTCGGAGTAAATGAAGCAGCATTTATCAGGACAGTATTTGTGCACGGTAGATGTGCAGTGTGTGCCAGGTGAAATTTATATGAGAGTGCAACAAAGTGCAGTTTTCTCCTTTCTCAAGTTTTATTTAGCTTTGACTTTTTTTTCATAAAGTTTATTGGTTTTCTTTTTTAATGTTTACATAGTTGATGTGGGAAGGATCCAGGGTTAGGGAAGGATGGGAGTGATCATTGTTTTCGAACTTTCTGTTTCTTTCTCCTGTTTCTGGAGGGGAGGAGGGAGATAAAGGGAGAAGCAGTATCCGGACTCCCTACCACCCCAGCACCCGACCACCTGATATCAACCCAGGGCCCCCAGTGTTCTTTGGCCTTGGTTTTAAATGAGGACTTAATTTGTAATAGGTTACATCTGTTGGCCTACATCATAAGCTTCATTAAAAGACAATGTGTTCATGTGAGTTAAGTTTCAGTACAAGCAAACTGAGATCCAGCAAAGTGTCTTCCTCTGGTCCTGTCCCCCTGCTGCTCAGTTGCCTCCTTGGAAGCAGCCTGTGCAGTGGTTGCTTGGGTCTCCATCCTGCAGTGTTTTAGGTTTTGTAAGTGGTTTAAACTTTTTGCTTTTCTGCAGTGTGCCCTGGAGGTATTGCAGGCTCATCCTAATGACCTGTCCCTTTAGACATTGCCAGACTTTTTTTTTCTCTCTTGAGGTTAATTCAGAAGGGGTCAGGTAGACTAAGGGGGAAGCCCCCAGTCTAATAGAAGAGAAGCTGTGTGAAGTTGTATGCAGTAGAAACTCAGTGTTAGTGATATAGAAAAGTATACCTCAAGTTTAATGAAGGGAGACATTTAGGTGGAATGAAGGTCTGGGGAAGGTTTGAGGTTATAGCTGTGTTTGAGCTGAAATTTGAGGAGGTTCTGAACATTGTAGCAAGAGAGCAGAATCAGGCCAAGAGTCTACAGTGTCTGTTTTTACTCAGGAATGGGAGTGTCGGGTATTCTGTCCAGGTTTGCTGAAGAAGTGGGACCAAAATAGACTCAGACCCTTATGGATGCTGTGGCTGTTGAAGCCTACAAGCTAGTGGGGCAATGGGTGCTCATCGAATAATGACTCGCATTGTAAACTGCGTAGACCAAATATTACAATGCACAAGTGCATGGTGCTCTGAAGGTAATGGCAGATTTGACTTAGATGAGGAGGTTGGAGAAGGCTTTCTTGCAGGTTCCCCGTGTACTGAGACTTGATGGATACGGATTCACAGGCCAAGGGGAAAGAGAAGAGCCTTCTCAGAACTTCCTTAGCGTGAGGGAGTACAGTGAGAACAAAGGGGATGCCATTCTGTGCGCTGGTGGGAGAGGTGGACCAGGGCCATACTATAGGGAAGCCATGTCAAATTGTCAGCTGCAGAGAGTTAAGGGTGTGCAAATTGGTGACGTGGTTCTTTTCCGTTTTTGAAAGATTTATGAATAGAATGACATCCAGAAAGCTCCAGTCTGCTAGTTCACTTCCCAGATGCGTGCACCTGCTACAGCTGGACCACACTGAAGCTGGGCACTCAACCCAGGTCTTCTGCTTGGGTGGTAAGGGACCCAGTCACTTGAACCATCATCAGCTGCCTCCCAGGAACTATGTTAATTAGTAGAAAGCTGGAACCAGGAGTCAGAGCTAGGTAGCAAACCCAGGTATTCCAGTGTGGAAGTGGACATTTTCAGAGTGTCTTAACCATTGGGCCAAATGTCCACCTCTGATTATTTTGCATTGTTGAGAGGTGATTTCTGAATTGAGTGTGAAGAACATGTTGGAGAAGGACCTTAGGTACATGGTGTATCAATTAGGAAGCAAGTAGTGGGAGGGAGGGAAGGAACTTAACAGATTTAGGAAAAACCTGTAGGACCAGACTGTAAATTTTTAGTAAGATTTATTTTATTTGAAAGGCAGATCTTGCAGAGAGAAAAGGAGGGACATAGAGAATCTTCCGTCCACTGGTTCGCCCCCCCAGGCCACCATGGCCAGAGCTGGGCTGATCAGAAGTCAGGAACCTGGAGCTTCTTCCAGATCTCCCTTCCATTTGAGTGCAGAGGCCCAAGGACATGGGGTCATCTTTAACTGCTTTCCTAGGCCATTGACAGGAAGCTGGATTGGAAGTGGAGCAGCTGAGCCATTGAACCAGCGCCAGTATGGAATGCTGGTGCCACAGGCAGAGGCTTATCCTGCACCAAGACGCTAGCCCCTTGAGAGTGATTTTAAACAGGTGGGAAGAGGAAAGTGCTAGAGACTAGGGACTGCTGTGAGAGACCCAGCTCACGTAATAAAGAGATCACTTAGGCTAGAACTTGAAGGAGTTGCTGTGTTTTTGAGATAATTGAGATATTTCAGAGAGGTAGCTGTTAGAAGTTAGAGCTAAGGGGCCAACATTTTAGCACAGCAAGTTAAGCCACCACCTGTGATACTGACATCCCATGGAGGCACTGGTTTGAGTCCTGGCTGCTCCGCTTCCAATCCAGTTCCCTGCTTATGACCTGGAAAAGCAGCAGAGGATGGCCAAGTGCTGGGGCCCCTACACTTGGGGTCTCTGCATGTAGAAGACCCTGATGAAGCTCCTGGTGTTCATTCTGGTCTAGCCCTGGCAATTGGGGCTTTTGGGAAGTGAACCAGCATATAGAAAATCCTTTTTCTCCCTCTTTCTCTATAACTGCCTTTCAAATAAATGTTTTTTTTTTTTCAAAAAGATTTATTTATTTTTATTTGAAGGACAAAATCACAGAGAGAGGTGGAAAGAAATCTACCATTTGTTACTTCACTCCCCAGATGGCCACAACAGGAAGGGCTGGGTGAATCCAAAGCCAGAAGCCTAGAGCTTCTTCCAGGTCTTCAACATGGGCAGTCTTGAGGAGCCTTCCTTTACTTTTCCCCGTGCATTATCAGGGAAATGAATCAGAAGTGGAGCAGCTGGGTCTTGAACCAGTACCCAGATGTGATGACAGCATCACAGACTAAGGCTTAAGCTGTAATACCACAACACCAGCCCCCAAATATCTTTTTATTATTATTTTGAATTTTTGAATTTTATGGTACAAATTCATATAGATTGGGATTCCCCCCAAACTCCCACCCCCTGACAGATTTCCCCATGTTGCTGCAATAGTATAGTACTTCATAAGGAATCATAATTCTATCAGTCTCTTATTTAAGTGTGCCCTGACATTGCTGGTACAGACAATGTTAGACAGTCCAGCATCTCATTGTCTACATATTTCCAACAGCTTCATTGGGAGTCCATCTTTTGTTTGGAAGCAGGGATGTATGTTGCATTGTACCCCTACATCTGGATATGGTAGACCCCAGTACTCCATCATTATACTTTCCATAAACGAGAAGCCATGAAACAAGGTCAACAACTAGTGTGAATTAGAACAACAGCCACAACAGCAACAACAAATTACGCCACAATGAAAAAAATGCACCACTGAGTAACCAAACCATGAGTGGCAAAAAGGAGACACAAGTCTCTTGGGAAAAATGATGCCACTGTGTAATCCATGAGCCAGCGATGAATTTGATGAGAAAAGAAAGTATTTGGAATATATGAAACGGAAATAAAAACATCAAAACACATGGGATGCAGCCCCCAAAAACAGTATGGATCAGGTTATTGAAGTTATACTTCCCAAATATCTTTTTTTTTTTTTTTTTAATGTTGGCACTTTAGGGAAGTCAAAATATACAAAATTGTCAGATAGGGCCTGACATGGTAACATAGCGGCTGAAGTTCTTGCCTTGTACACACTACGATCCCATTGTGTGCCAGTTCATGTCCCAGCCACTCCACTTCTATCCAGTTCGCTGATTGTGTGGGAGACCTGGAAGAAGCTCCAGGCTCCTGACTTCAGATCGGCTCAGCTCTGGCCATTACAGCCGCTCAGGGAGTGAATCAGCGGACAGAAGATACTCTTGTCTCCCCTCCTCTATATCTGACTTTCCAATAAAAAATAAATCTTTTTTAAAAAAATTGTCAGGTAATAGTGGGAAGTACACTAGGTATGACATGA